ATTCATTGGTCAAGAGAAAAAGCCACATTGCTGTGAATGTGGGGTGAACTATTAATTTGGTTTCTTCTTGTCGACTGCTTGAGATATTCATTATGATTGGAATTTTCACCTTTGACATACATGCCTTGTGCTTAGCATTTTCAATACACTATAAATATAAATGATGACAAATGCAACATGGCTTGTCAATGGATTCACTTGCATATGGTTTTATTTATGGCTTGTCAATGGTTTCACTTGCAATGGATTATCTGGCTTAATGTGAAAATATATTCCTGTCATCAGGCCATAACAGAAGATTCTGTCGTTTTGAAATTTGAGAAAGCATGATGTGCCCTTCAAGATTGTCTAAGGCAGGTAGAGGATATCGTACCTCAATCTATCTATTGTCAAGTAATATAGGTTTTGGTAATTTATGTGTGTCATTTCATGTGTGATGTGCTTAATACTCAAATATTTTAGTAATAAATTTCCTCCCTGGAAATTTGAGTTTAAATTCCTTCAGCTTCTAATAGTGACTTATCTTAGATTGCTGATATCTTGAATGAACTTGAGGGAATTGAATTCTCACTTGATCCTATGGAGAAGCAAATTGGGCACGACATCATTGTGTTACTCCAAAAAGGGATAAACTTCAATGGCAACTGTAATGACAATAATGAGCTTGAATCTTTTCATCAGGTTGTTTCAAAAGTTAGTATCACCTCTTCAAGAGCTGCACTTAGAGAAAGAAGGGCTTTAAAGAAACTCATAGAAAGAGCCTGGACTGATGAAGACAAAAGAAAGGAGTCAAAAGTAGCTTATCTTTTACATCTTATCAGAAAGTACTCGAAGTTATTCATAAGTGATTTCTCAGATGATAATGATTCACAGGGCTCAACACCTTGTTCGCCCACCGTCCATGGATCTTTGGAGGATGGTTGTGTGCCTGGACGCAATAGTTATGTGTTCGACCGTTAACTCTCAAAACTCAATTCTTTTAATTTTCGACAAACCTTCAAAAGATCAGAGCACATG